CTATGAGTGGGGCTACTCTAAACAACAATATGAAGTGCGTAAGCAATAATATTCACAATTTTATTTTATTACCATCATTTGTGTTGAGTTTCATTCATATATATGTATTGACCCCCTTCTTCAAATTAGATGTGGCAGATGCGGGATGAACTCCTACCACAAGATCGCATACGAGCAATTTAAGAGGAATTGGTGGGATTCTTTCTTGACCACGTCATCGACAAACACAGAGAATACCATGTGGAAGTTGAGTTCAGATGTTAGGGGATTTTGTAAGAGGTCTTATATTGTATATATATATGTAGCCAGTAGCGTCGGATAGATATACAAAAACTTGTTGTTCGACCAATCTATCAGAGAAGGAGAGGTCGATCACTTCTCTCTATGTATATGTTCATGACGATCTTCTGTACTTAATGGTTTCCTTCATTTGCTTACTAGCTAGCTAGCGTGTCGAGTCCTCTTTATACGTATAGTACGTAGCGTCTAACAAGCACGGAGATAAGAGAGGATAGTTCTCTTTATTAGCTAGCTAACACAATAATTAACCCTACAAAACCCCCAAAACCCCCAACCCCCCCCCCCTTCAAAAAAAAACAAAAACCCCAGCCCATGAACTGCTGACGCGTGGAAGGCTTTTGGTCCCGGTTTTTTTAACACAGTACAAAGGCAAGCGCTCATATACACGCGCATACACTCACCCCTACGAACGCACGCATGCACACCCTACCCCTATGAGCACCTTTGAAAGACTGAGCCGGCATATCTTCTTGAAATCTATGAAGTCACCGTAGGCACCTCGTCATCGACGGGAACGTCTCCTCCCACTGAATACGCGTCGCCGGAAATCATGAAATAAATTCAGGAATAAATGCGAGCACCAGGATTTTAATCATGGTGGGCTGGGGATACCATAGTCCCTCTAACCATCCAACCACAGGTTGATTCGCGCCTTTTGGTCCCGGTTGGTGGCACCAACTGGAACAAACTGCCCTCCTGCTTGAGCAAGCCGAATCGGCCACGTGGAGCCCCATCTGGGGAGTTCCTGTTTGACGCTCGTTAGCGTCAAACAACAGAGCTTCCGCGCAGGGCTCGCGCAAACGGGCCGGCCCATTACCATGCCACGAGTGAACATAAGAAAAAACGCTACAAACGAAAAATTAAGCTTGAGCAAGGACTAGTAACCGTCACAAACTCCAAACAAAAAAATCCGGAGGAGTATGCGACCATGACTAAAATGCTCGAGAAGTAAGTTCAATCGATCATTATCGCACAATATCGGCAACTTTGTTCATTTCCTGATATCAAGTAATTGTTTTCTTTGTCTGGCAGGGTTTGGAAAAAGTTCACCGCACAAGCTCCAGGACTGCCGGCACGGCTGCGATTTAACCACCCGAGAGTAAGTACTAGCTACTAGCTAGTTCCGCGCATCTCCCATTGATTCTAGCTAGTTTCATCAATACCATTTAGTATGTTTGCTTATCAGTTTGATTGACCTCTATTTCTTGTAAACTGGTTGTGGCAGGAACCCGGGAATGATTTATGTGGATACTACATTTGCGAGTTCATCCGCCACACCACCTATGAGTGGGGCTATTCTAAACAACAATATGAAGTGTGTAAGCAATAATATTCACAATTTTATTTTATTACCATCATTTGTGTTGAGTTTCATTCATATATATGTATTGACCCCCTTCTTCAAATTAGATGTGGCAGATGCGGGATGAACTCCTACCACAAGATCGCATACGAGCAATTCAAGAGGAATTGGTGGGATTCTTTCTTGACCACGTCATCGACAAACACGGAGAATACCATGTGGAAGTTGAGTTCAGATGTTAGGGGATTTTGTAAGAGATCTTATATTGTATATATATATGTAGCCAGTAGCGTCGGATAGATATACGAAAACTTGTTGTTCGACCAATCTATCAGAGAAGGAGAGGTCGATCACTTCTCTCTCTGTATATGTTCATGACGATCTTCTGTACTTAATGGTTTCCTTCATTTTCTTACTAGCTAGCTAGCGTGTCGAGTCCTCTTTATACGTATAGTACGTAGCGTCTACCAAGCACGGAGATAAGAGAGGATAGTTCTTTTTATTAGCTAGCTAACACAATAATTAACCCTACAAAACCCCCAACCTTCCCCCCCCCCTTCAGAAAAAAAACAAAAACCCCAGCCCATGAACTGCTGACGCGTGGAAGGCTTTTGGTCCCGGTTTTTTTAACACAGTACAAACGCAAGCGCTCATATACATGCGCATACACTCACCCCTACGAACGCACACACGCACACCCTACCGCTATGAGCACCTCTGAAAAACTGAGCCGGCATATCTTCTTGAAATTTATGAAGTCACTGTAGGCACCTCGTCATCGACGGGAACGTCTCCTCCCACTGAATACGCGTCGCCGGAAATCATGAAATAAATTCAGGAATAAATGCGAGCACCAGGACTTTAATCATGGTGGGCTGAGAATACCACAGTCCCTCTAACCATCCAACCACAGGTTGGTTCGCGCCTTTTGATCCCGGTTGGTGGCACCAACTGGAACAAAAGGCCCTCCTACCTGAGCAAGCCGAATCGGCCACGTGGAGCCCCATCTGGGGAGCTCCTGTTTGACGCTAGTTAGCATCAAACAGCAGAGCTTCCACGCAGGGCTCGCGCAAACGGGCCGGCCCATTACCAGGCCACGAGTGAACATAAGAAAAAACGCTACAAACGAAAAATTAAAGCCTTGTTGGATTAGAACCGGCGACCTTACGCTGTACGGTTGCGTCCTCAGCCACTACACCTAGCAACTCAGATTGGTTGCAAGTACAACGTAAACTTGAAGTACTATGTACAGTGGCAGATCCGGTTTTTAATCTTCATTCAAAAGAATGTATAATGTTTTCCTGAACAAATTTTGAAACTCGAACAACTGTTAAAAAGTGTTTTCTTTCTGGAAAACGTGAACAGTTATTCAAAACATGAACAAAAGTTTATTGATTTTTTTATATAAGATGAACAATTTTCAAATATACATTGAACATTTTTTAGATATACGATGAACAATTTTTACCTACACAGTGAACATTTTTGTGATATACACTTAACAAAATATTAAAACATATTGAACATTTTTGTAAAATTAATCTGAACCATTTTAACTACACATTGCACAATTTTGTGTATATACACTGAACAATTTTGTATTCACAGTTTTAAAATTGATATACCCATTGAACATTTTATGATATATGCTGAACAATTTTAAATAGCGAACCAAATTTGAAATAGTGAATAAAGTTTTAAAACTGTGAACACTTTTTGAAACGATGAACAAAATTTGGGATGTCAAAGCATTTTCTTGAACAAAGTATACAAATAAAAACGAATAATCATAAAATGAAAGAAAAGGAAAAAGAAGAGAAATAAAAACAGAAACAGAAAAAAGAAAGAAAACGGAAAAAACGAAAAAGAAAACAGGGGAAAACCGGCAAAAGAAAAAAAACGATTCAGGGAACCTCCTAGAAGGTTCCCAAAACCGGATGCTCGCTCTAAGTGGGCCGGCCCGTGTTGCCTCCGTCACTCGCTTCGCTTCAGCGAAATAGGGATGATCGAACGCACACGAGCGTCATACAGGATCTATTCCCCATCTGTCCCGATTCCTGGACAAACCGGGACTAAAGATCTTGGGCTTTAGTACCGACCCTTTAGTCCCGGTTCGGCAACCGGGACAAATGGGCCTCATGAACCGGGATAAATGACCCGTTTTCTACTAGTGTAGAATCCATGTACCATGTTGTACATTGTAATGTTACTTGTTGTATTACTCCGGGATTGGAGATCTCACCACGCCAAGGCCTGCGTGCCTACATTGTAGGGCGTCCGTGCTCCACCTTCCCTAGATATACTCTGTAATGTCTAATGTGTAACAGTTGCATTAATCAAGGAAATATTGTTTCCAACTATGGCAGTCGGGGAAGGTGAGCATGGTGGAGCAGCGGGTAGAAGAGGAGACCTTGTACGCCGAGTACAAGATAGACGCGAACGATAAGCACGTACACACGCGCGCGCGCACACACACACACCATCACCAACATATGTCACGCACTTAAACAACACTTACAGAAGATTAAGATCACAGAGCAGCTTTACATTGATGAAGTCATCGCATAAGCTAGCTCAATACAGTACACACATGTTTGTTGCAAGTGAATGACACGTGCACTGCCGAATCTACACGATCAGTATGCAAGTACGTCCGGGCAGTTGGCCCAAGCCACTTAAGATTGAGCCTATCCTGCTCGACGAAATAATTCAACGTACGCTACTGGACTGGCCCGGCAGATTAATAATTAAGCTAGCGGCTGCTTCTTTGCACGAGTCCGGGCGAGCAGCCACATACACATAAGCAATGATCGGCCGGCGAGCCCAGTCACCACTCGATGCTCAAAGTGGTTTGTTCACAGATAGAGCTCGCGTGGCAACCGTGGCAACCGTGTCGTGCATGTGCGCGCCCTTTGCTTGCGCCGATGGACTGGACTGCCAATTATTGCAGTTAGCGCGCGCCGTTCACCTGCACGTAAGTACGGCCGGGTCATTGTTGTTTACTTTATCAGGCAAATTTGCTACGTACGTAGTACGTGTAGTGTTACTGTTACTGGCCGGTCGCGAGGAGAGTAGTAGCATGCGTGGGACTAGTTAACACCGGGTGCGGGCGGTAGTGGTTACGATCGTACAGATTCTTGCCGGAAAGAGGCCAGGCACCGGCAGATGGCGTGTAGATTTACAACCCATGCAACTCCGTGTAACGTAAACGTCGGTGAGATGCACCGTGATCTGTCATCTCTGTGCTCTCAGCCTCAGCTTCCCCCATCGATCCGGCCGCCAACCATCGACCTCCCACGGCCCTCGGCATATATAAATTACTACTCCGGCAGAGTGGTGTGTTTCTGCGGGGAAGTGAGTTACTGTACACACAGAGAGGGAGAGGGAGAGAGAGACGATGGATCGGAGGAGGATCACGGTGCTCCTGGTGGAGGACGAGGAGATCCACAGGGTACGTGATACATGCTAATCTGTTCCTCAATTGATTCATGTAGGAGAGTAGCTAGACGATCGAGTAGTGTGTACTAGGTCGTGATGTTTGTTCAGCTGATCATACATGTTGGAACGGCAGGTTGTGGCGAGAGCGGTGCTGAGGGCGGCCGGCGTGGAGGCGGACGAGGCGGAGAACGGGGCGGAGGCGGTGCGGCGCGTGCGGGAGCGCGTCGGAGGCGGCGGCGCCGGCGCGTATGACCTCATCCTCACGGACAAGCAGATGCCGGTCATGGATGGCCACGAGGTATATACACCCGCGTCAGACACTCGACATGGCTTCCGCTTCTGTGTGTGTGTGTTCGCGGCCTCGCCATCAACACAGTCCGCCTGACGAGTACGTGTGGGTGTGGCATCGCCGACCACGCGCGTGCGTGCATGCAGGCGACGAGGCAGATCCGGGCGATGGGGGTGACCACGCCGATCGTCGCCGTGTCCAGCGACAGCCTCCCGTCAGACGTCCAGGCCTTCATCGCCGCCGGCGCCGACGACTTCACGCCCAAGGTGACGATCCATCCAATCCACCGGATCAATCGTGTTTTGCTCCTGATGTGCGTACCGAACGCCCATGACTCTCGCTCTGACCGTTTGCTGATGCACGCACACGCACCCATCCCATGCATGCAGCCGCTGACCAAGGAGAAGCTGGGCCACATTCTCTCCAAGTTCGGGCTTGCGTAGCCGCCATTAACTAGGAGTACAGTACTATTTAACTTGGTTCAGGACGCGAACATGATTGGTTCCCGCAGATGAGGAGGCACAGGTGTTCTTTCTACGAAAGAGCACGAGGTGCCACACTACCTCTCCCCTGCTTCCCGTGGATGGATTATTAGTGCTAGTATTAATATTGTTTCCTCCATGCTTCGCTCATGTAAATATATATATGGATTAGTTTTTCGGGGCATATTTATGGATTAATTTTTCATTATGGACTAGGCAATATAATTATGGATTAGTGAATAATATCATTTGGACTTGCCAAATCGAAGCCTTATATGATCAGCTAGTGCGCTTATTGGGTGGCCTATCTTCTGTACGGGCCTTGTGGCTTATATATAACTCCCTCTATCCCATAATATAAGAGCATATTTTACAGAACACTAGTGTCGAAAATACACTTATATTATGGGATGGAGGGAGTACATAAGAACTTCGTGGTTGCGTTACTCCCGTTCAATTCTAGACTAAACAAAAAACAAAAAAACTTCAGTTCAATTCTGGATCCTAATTTGTGATTCAGATATACAAAACATACAAGTATCTTTTTTCAAACAGAAACCTTGTTTACTAACATTTGGGTAAAAACTTGAGCTAAGCTATATATGAAGCCAACAACAGTAATTCCCAAAACCACAATCGGGCATTTCAGCAAAACCATAGTCTATCCAAACCTGCTAAAGAGTGAACAGACGATGCCTGAACAGAAGTCAGGTCGCAGTACTCCCAGCAATTGTACGAAGCAATGAAGACAAACAGAGAGGTACTAGCTGAAAAGACTTGTAATATCTCCTGAACTAAACCTCCATCTAATTAGCACACCTTGTTCATGGTTAATAGTTCCAGCAACATTCTGGACAGAGTCATGCCGTTAATAATTTTCCATAAAAGACACAGTGCCAAACAAAAACAAAAAAGAGACTGAGGTACATCGCATCCTTGTGACAAAAAGACTACAAATAATATTAGATCGTATCCAGATTCCAGAGTCCTATGTAACATTCTCGATAAAATTGCACCTGCCATGCATGCATGCATGGATCGAAACCTAGTCATGTCCATGCCCTTGATTTTCTTATCCCGAGTCGATCAACAAGCTACAACCTTGGACAAGAGGAGATCCTTCAGAAGACCGGGGCAGTGCTTGGTTAAAAAGTCAAGGCCTTCAGACTCAATGAGCGCATTCAGATTCGCTGACGAGCTGAGGAATGCCAAACATGCTTTCTTAAGCCCATGGCAGTGGTGTCGCTCCGCCAATGTCGCCATGGCCGCCACGGAGCTCCTATCGATATGATTGCTCAGTTTATCTTCACAAACCAGCTTCAGCCTCGCCAAATCATACCTGTCCGCTGCAACAAGCAAATGCTGAGCCATGTCATATTCTTCTTCGTGCTTCATATCCGGCAACGCGTCCGTGTACATGAAAGTAAGCAGAGCACTGAACACTTGTGCCTCCATGTCATTTATACGTATGGCATTTTTGGTGGCGCTCTCCTTCATGGAACCAAAGAACTCTGCTTTGAAAACAGGAGAGCGCGCCGCGAGCACGTACCGGTGCGCCGAGAACGTCTCACCGCCGACTAGGAACTCGACATCAGCGCCCGCCTTGCTTGACAGGAGATCCCCTAAGTGCCGGTGCAAGTCAGACGGCGGTACCACGACGGATGGAGTCACCTGCCCGTGGAACAAGCCAGGGACAGCGACGTCGACCTTGATAGTGAAGGAGTCGTCCTTGAGATGCTCTGATTTCTCCAATTCCTCTCTTTTGATGAACTTACCATATCCCCAGGTTTTGTTCACAGCGTAGTTGTTCCTGATGGTACGCTGGGTATAGGACGGCACAGGATTCCCATGTTGGTCGAGTAGGCTGAACTTGGCTTGTGCCTCAACAGCCTCGTCCTCCGCGACGACGGTATCATCGAATTCGAGAAACACGGATATGTAATCGATATCTTCCGTCTTGTTCCCGTTGGGATAGTAACGAACATGCCATGTGCGGCCTCCCAGCTGGAACGGGCTAGACTCGATCGACTTGCCATTGGGGACCTCCTTGGTGCGCGAGTAGCTGACGATCTTGACCAAGTGGTAGCCGCATGTAAGACAATAAGTTTTGGGGAACTAGCACAACCCTCTAGGGGTGGCTTATCTCATTATATATAATGGTTGTGTTACAATATGTATCATATACGTACATAGGTACAGAAGCTATACATAGTCTAACACCCTCCCTCAATGTTAGCCACTTTCTAAAGAACTGAGAAGGGTAAGATTGCGCCTACAAGCCTCAAACTGTGGCAGCGGTAAAGGCTTAGTGAAGATGTCTGCAAGTTGATCCTTAGATGAGATAAAGTTGATCTGGAGTTGCTTCTGTGATACACGTTCCCGTACAAAGTGATAGTCAACTTCAATGTGTTTCATTCGGGCATGAAATACTGGATTTGCAGAAAGGTATGTAGCACCGATGTTATCACACCAAAGAATAGGAGGCTGTGGTTGAGACAAACCCAACTCCTGAAGCAAAGACTGCACCCAAATAATCTCTGCAGTAGCATTAGCCACAACCTTGTACTCAGCTTCAGTACTGCTACGTGACACAGTAGCCTGTTTCCGAGCACTCCAGGCGATCAAATTAGAGCCAAAGAATACTGCATAACCCCCCGTGGATCGCCTGTCATCTGGGCTACCAGCCCAATCTGCATCAGAGAAGGCCGAAAGGACCCGAGAGGAAGTCGGCCGAATATGCATACCAAATGTCAGGGTGAACTGAACATAACGAAGAATGCGTTTAACAGCAGCCCAATGAGTATCTCTGGGAGCCTGAAGATACTGACAAACCCTGTAACAGCATAAGAGATATCTGGTCTCGTGATCGTCAAGTACTGAAGTCCACCAACAATGCTCCTGTACTCTGTGGCATCCGCAGGAGACAAAAGCTCACCATCAACAGCTGTTATCTTGTCGGTAGACGACATGGGTGTGGTGGTCGGTTTGCACTTCAGCATGCCAGCTCTCTGTAACAACTCCAAGGAGTACTTCTTCTGCGTAAGGACAAGACCAGTAGCACGAGAAGTGACCTCAACTCCAAGAAAGTAGTGAAGCTTCCCAAGATCTTTGACCGCAAAATCAGCACCAAGAGAGCAGACAAGAGCATCAGCAGCATACTGAGAAGAGCTGACAAGGATAATATCATCGACATATACCAAAAGATACATAGTGACTTCTGGCTTCTGTAGAAGAAATAACGAAGTGTCAGCAGTAGACGGCACAAACCCATGAGCATGAAGGGCAGAGGCAAGGCGGGCATGCCAGGCACGAGGAGCTTGCTTCAAACCATATAGTGCTTTGGAAAGACGACAGATATAGTCAGGACGATCAGGATCAGAGAAACCAGGCGGCTGTTTCATATAAACCTCTTCCTCCAAAAATCCATGTAGAAAAGCATTCTGCACATCAAGTTGACGAAGTGACCAACCACGAGAAACAGCAATGGAGAGAAGAAGCCGAATAGTGGTAGGCTTGACGACAGGACTGAAGGTGTCCTCATAGTCAAGACCATGACGCTGCCGAAAACCGCGAGCAACAAGTCGCGCTTTGTAACGCTCAATAGATCCATCCGAATGCTTCTTCACTTTGAATACCCATTTTGAGTCAATAACATTTACCCGTGGTGGTGGAGGAACGAGAGTCCATGTCTTGTTACGAAGAAGAGCATGAAACTCCTGCTCCATAGCCTCTCACCAATGTGGAATGCGCAGGGCAGCCTGATATGAGCGAGGCTCAGAAGATGGATCCGCAACAGCAGCAGCCAAACAAGCAGCCAACCAAGCAACCGTACCATCCTTACGTTCCTTAGGTTTGAAAATGCCACTGCGACTGCGTGTATGTGGTCGGGACACAGGAACCACCGAGGTCGACGGAGCAGCCTGCAACGGGCTGGAGGACGGCGACGTTGACGAGTCAGCCGATGACGAGGAGCCAGTCACGGTAGCCTCGGACTCGGTTGGCGAAGAAGGCCGACCCACCGGCGAAACCGGCAGAGCAGACGAAGCAGCTGGCGACTCCGGCATCATAGACCGGGCCGATGGCGAGCTCGGCATAGTGGGCCGTGGCGCGGCCGGTGTCGCGGGCCGATCCGCTGATGAAGGCGACGTGAGGACCCGAGCCGTGGGCGAAGACGGCATGACGGGCCGAGCCGCAGGCGAAGACGGCGTGACGGGCCGATCCGCGGGCGACTCGGCGGCCGCTGGCGAAACTGACCGAGCAGTGGAGATGCTCGGCGCGACGGGCTCGTCGGGTGACAATGCATGGGCACGCGAATCGATGCCATGCAACATAGGGCGATCGACGTGCCCACCAGAAGACGACGATGATGATGGTGAATCCTTCAACAGCTCCAAACGAGCTCCACGTCCGGTTCCTGCACCATGGTTAGGTAACAGCAAAGGAGAGTATGCAACATCATCAAATTGGTCAAAAGCAACAGAGGATGAATGCAGGGATGGTGGTTCGACAGTGGACACAGGAAGGTTGGCAAAGGGAGAAACATGCTCATCAAACACGACGTCCCGAGATATATAGACACGATTAGTGGGAACATGAAGACATTTGTAACGTTTATGAAGAGAGCTATAGCCAAGAAAAACACACTTCTTAGAACGAAACTCAAGCTTGCGCTTGTTATATGGACGAAGATGCGGCCAGCAAGCACACCCAAATACCTTGAGAAAGGTATAATCAGGTTGTTCATTAAGGAGAACCTCAATGGGAGTCTTCATGTTTAAAACACGAGTAGGAGTACGGTTGATGATAAAGCATGCAGTGGTGAAAGCATCACTCCAAAACTGAAACGGAACAGATGCATGGGCCAAAAGAGTAAGACCAGCTTCAACAATATGACGATGCTTACGTTCGACTGAACCATTCTGCTGATGTGTATGTGGACATGCTAAACGATGAGCTATCCC